TGCGTCTTGAAGTGTTTCATCTTTGCTCTGATGCATGACTCACAGTAGGGATTCTTGTAACGATGTGTGAGTAGATGCTCGATTTTCCTGGCATCTGCTTTCAGAGTTCCTCTTCTCACCATTCTACTTGCACCGTCAACAACATCCACCTCGATGTCATCTGCATCATCATCGTCAGCTTCTGGTTCACTGTCTCCGGCGACATCTGATCCTACCTCATCTTCTTCTCCAGGAGATGCCTTGAACTTCTTATTCCTCTTTCGCCTTTTGACTTTTGGAGGCTCAATCACAGGGAGGTCGTCATCATCACACATGACGCCTTGAGGATCCACATCACAGTTGATGAAAGCCGATTGGTAATCAGCTTCACCTTCTCCTAGGGTGAACCTTGCGATCATCTCCGCCCTTACATCGTCGGTGGGGTTACAGAAGTCACTGCCCTTGACAATATATGGGATGTTTCCCTCTACTTCTAACATGATTTTCTTGTAGTTCGGGGAAACCATGTACGGGTTGCCGCAGGCTGGCCATATGAATGTGTAACCTTCCTCCATGCATTTCTTTCCAACAGACAGTACTGAAGGAGACTCATCTAAGACGAATGGGGAGTAGGTAGAGTCAAATTCGTCGAAATGAATGTCGGCGACTCCCTTTGTGGATGTCACTCCATTTGCGGTATAGAATGACATTGATTGGTCGCTTTCTCTCACTTCCAGACCTAATTTCTTGACTCTGCCTTTCGATATCAAATCATACCCACATCCTGTGTCCATGATGAACTTTGTTCTTGACCCTTTGGCTGGAATAGACAATGTCTTTGTGTCTGCATGATCTTTCTTTCCCTCGCATACATGAGGAATGACTTTATGATGGAAAACTAGGCCGTCATCTTCGTCAAAAGACATAGTGACCGCTAGGTCACCCTTTGGTCCAACTGGTATTCGGACCCTCTTGATCTCAGTGTAGGGGACCATCAATATGCCTCTTGCCTCTGCGACCTTTTCTTCAAATCTGATTTGTTCTTTCCTCGTGTAGCAGGTGAGCTCTTTCTCATCGTATCGTTTGATGTCTGGACGTAGAGGTTTCCTTTCTACTACCTTCCATTTGTTCCTGACTGAGTAGATCGCTTCGTTCAACATGATCTCACAAGTCTCTTCATCAAAGGATACTTTTGCACCTCCTTCTCTTGCCTTGGCGGATGCAGCAATCCCTTCATCTTCGGATTCGTCCATGAAGAGTTCACCGTCAATGGCTGGGGCTCCAGGCTTCGCCTTAGGCTTCGGTTTGGGTTTTGCCTTGGGCTTTGGCCTATCGTCTCCTGAGTCAGCTGGTGCAGATATCCCTTTCTTAGGAGAGGCTTTTGGGTCATGGTAGAACTTGCAATCCTTCCCTTTGTCACAAGTTCCTCGAATCCACATCCAACATACTGGCTTATCATTCTTTCCGGCAGAAGATCCTCTGGATGGTGATCTGGGTTTCTTGTGACTGAATGGGCAATCTTTCCCCATAGTGCAGTTACCTTTCACGAAGTATTTGCATGGTATCTTCTTCTTGTCTGTACTCGGACTTCGGCTGCGATCCTTTCCATCACCTTTACCTTTCCCCTTTCCCTTTTTGTTCTTGTCTTCAGGATGCTTCTTGGGATTGGGTTTCGGCTTCACTGCAGCAGCGTCTTCTGAGACAACCTGTTCTTGTTGCCCTTTTGGTTTCTTCTTCGGATCAGCTGGTGCAGCTTTTAGTTTTGGAGCAGGTCCGCCTGGTTTGAGATTCTGAAAGATATTGGCCACATTCTTCACTGCCTTCTCCTTTTCCAGGATCATCCTGTCTTCAGTTTGCCGTTCGATGTGCCTTCTGATCATATCACGTAGATGTTTGTATGTCTTCTTGGCATCATCGTCGTTCATGCTGTTGTAGGCGCTGATGTCGTATGCCATGAGGTTTGAGTTCCTGATCTTTCTCCATAGGAGATCCCGAAGAGTTTCGTCGCTCGGGACGTCAACGGGCTTCATTCCTGCCAGAATCTCATCCCAAGTGTGGAAGAACAACGATAAGTTCTTGTCTCCTTGATATTCTAGTTGGTAGAGGTGCATTGAAGTATATAAGACTTCCACATTTGATGTTGTCTTGAAATTCATAAGGATCAGGGCTAGGACCTCTCTTCCCTTTATGAGGCTTGATGTTCTCCCTTTTGCATTGATCCTCGTCCTCAACTTCATAGCTACACCTGAACCATCATCTTTCGCATCCATGACGACCTTGGTAAGAGCTAGGCCGAGTTTGGCATCGATTGAATGGAATCTTTGGTCTCCTGAGTCGACAAACTTGTCCGGATCAGGATCGTCCATGGCTTCTTTGATCCAGTCGATCCAGGGCTCTTGATCTGAATCATTGGCCGCAATGATGATCGATTGAATGAGATTTGCCTTCCATAGTCCAAGATCATTGATCCTGGGCCATGACGGAACGTTTATCTTTGATTCTTCCTTCCTCGATACTTTCATGATTGTAGAGGTTGCCGGTGCAAGATGAGATGAAGAGGATGCTTCTGCTTCTGAAATCTTGTCCCTCAATGATTTGTTCGCCTCGGATAGCTCAATTGATTTGTCCCTTTCCTCGGCGTACTCATTGTGGGTTTCGGCATACCATTCATACATCTCATCTCGGCTCTCTGTCATTTCATTGTACCCGTCCTTGTAGTGCTTCGCCTCCTCTTTTGCGTTCCGAATCTCATCTTCCTCGGACGCGTGGATTGGTAACCCGCGGTCTCTGGAACTAGGACGCTTGCTGTACCGAGAGACTATGGGTGCCATTCGTGCTTCTGCTTTTAATTTCGCATTTTCCATAATGACATTCTTTGTCTCCTTCTGGCTTTCCAATAGTGCATTCTCCAGTTCTCTGATCTTCTGTTGAATTTCAGCACCATCATCGCCGAACATAGGAGCTCTCATCATATTCTCTCTTTTCAGCTGTGCGTTGGCTTCGGATAGAGCGAGGTTGGCGTCTTTCAACTGTTGTCGTTCACGGATGGAACCTTCTAGGACTTCGTCGTTGAATATTTCTCCTTTTGCGATAACCTCCTTTGCGACGTTTGCTTCGTATTCATGGTGGCTCGCCTTCATTTCTGCCATTTCTTTAGCAGAGACTTCAGTCTGGCATACAAATATCTCCATCCTCATGCCCACTTCCATCTCTTCTATCTCCGCTCTCGCGTTGAGTTCAGCTCCACGTGCCATAGCTAGTTGACCTCGTAGATGATCAATAACCATAGCTTCCTGATTGCTCTGATCTTGAGATGAGTGAACACTGTGTTGAAGACGTCTTTCCCTGACCTCACTGTTCCATTGTTCTTCTCTCTGGTGTTGGATCACCTCGTGCATGTTGACATTCTCATCCTGTAGCGCAATCATTCTAGCTTGTATCTGGTCAGCTATTCCGACGAAGGCTGTGTTCTCATCCTGAATGGCTTTTGATCTTCTATTGATCGCCAATGAAGATTCATTCTGTTCTTGGATGTGTCCAATTGCTGCTTGAAGCTCTTGGGACATTCTGTCCTTCGTTGCTTTCACAGATTCAAGCTCTGAATGTTCTTGATGAGTTTCTTGTGCAAGCTCTTGATATCTCATGTAGATATGTTCAGCTGTCGATTCCGCCAAGCGTAGCTTGTGTTCGAGCTCTTCAATTCTTATTGTCGCTCCTTCATCTTCCTGTGTCATCTCTTGTAGATGTTCCTGCATCTTCCTGTTGTAGTCAGACATTTGCCTGAACTCCACTTCAGCCTCGTGGTGTAGTCGTGAGTATCCGGCTTGGATGCATTCATATTCTTCATGAAGAAAATTGTATGCGTTTCTCGCCGATCTCAATTCTTCACCCAGCTGAATCTCTCTTCTTTGCTCTTTTGTTCCTCTATCATCATCACGTCTCTTCTCTATACTCCTTCTTGGGGATCTCGCGGTAGACGTTATAGGCGATGTAGATCTTGTTGTAGCTCTCATCGATCTTCTTGGTCCTACGGGTGTAAGATCGGTCAGATTCCGAGCCGGTGGCACGGATCTTTCCGAGATTTGTGATCCAGTAGGCATAGTGATAACGTCAGCATTTGCTGATGAATCAGTACCCATTGTAGAGTCTGGTGACGAAATGGTGTTGGGACCACCAGGAGCAGCGAATGAATAGGGTTCGCTTCCATTTCCTCCTGAGCTTGACATTGCAGGTTTCTGTAATGACTAGTCTTGTTCTTGGTCTCGTGTAGCTCGTACGGCTATAAAGAGCGCGTACGGCTGATAACCTGCGAGTGGATCTTAATCAGCGAAGTTTGAAGCTATCACTGACGATCCATAAGCGGCGTAGCGTCGGAACGGAAACCGCACCTTTTCTAGTCGCTTGATCCTTGAGCCAAAGTACATATGGTACATATATATGTACAAGTTGCACTGTATGTGTCGCTGCACTTCCATTCGCATACAAAAACATACAAAAACCATGCCATTTGCTAGGGAAAGACAGGTTTTTGATGGTTTGTGGGGCCTCTGGTATACACCAGTTCTTTGGCTGCTGCCCTGCCTGCAGGTTCACCAGACTAGGCTTGCCCACATGCGCGCGGCCTGGCGGCAAAGGGCTTTAAGCAGGTTCCGTCGCGCTTGAGTCCTCTGATTGGACGATTGGAACTCGGAGCTCCTGTACATGTCTAATCTTGATTCATAAGCCCGCAGGGCATAGGCTTGAAGGTTGAACAGGAGCTTTGGTCATTTTTGTTAATATGGGGTCTGTCCTAGGAAACCTGTAACAGCCAATAAACAAGCGGAACAAGGCCAGCAACCTAACCATCATAATCCACTGGGCCTTGGTAATAGGATAGACCCTAGATTCATACAGTAAGCCCCTAAGCTTGAAGGTTTTACGATCCATGTCTGCTTTGTTTCCAATTAAGATTCTGATTCTGCATTAGACAGCTTAGCTGGAGGTCTTGTGACAGCCGTTTCAACTTAAGGACACTCCGAGCACTAAGAGAACTTCGGCCTAATCAAGGCTCGGCTGGGAGAAATCCTCAGATGCTGACAACGAGGTGGTGAAACCCTTTGGGGTGGGCTGTTCTATATATAATTATTAACCACCTACAGTAGCGCTTCCTGTCGGGGCGTCCTGCTGTTGGGGTGTCCTGTCTGGAGACCTCTATTAGGGATATGTCGGGATGTGTAGGGTAGTCCATTGAACACCCGGAAACAGCTGCTCTGCTTGCTTCTTAATGCAGTGGTCTTTCCCGGGTTTGCTCTGTGCAAACCTGATTCCCCCCCACTTTCAGTCCTCCACCTTCCGTTGACGAATGCAGGTGTCTCAACCGCGCCACCAGTCCACCGTGTCCCAACGGTGACACGCCGTGAGTTCACCCCTGACGGAAGGACCATGGTGCCGGAACCGCTCCGTTTCGGTGCCCGCCTTCGCGGAAGAGCTGGAACCGTGAGGTCCAACTCCGTGGGAACTCGTTGCCCGCCATTCCTCGCTGGGCTCGGCACGGACGGCCGTGGATCCGACGCGTCGCGATGGTCTACAGCTGGGCTGTTTTGGAGGGCCACGTGGCGTCGACTTAGTCACCAGTCGAAGAGTGACCTGAAAAAGTGAGGGACGACCAGTTGAGTGACCTAAATTAGATCTCAATTTCGGTCAGCAACTCAAGGTCCTGGGACATGACTGCTTTGAAGGTGAAGGTAGGTCTGTGACCAGATCGGACTCGTTTTGTGATGCACTGGATCTGCTTCGTCCGGCCTTGCTGTCAGCCCCACACTGTTGTGTGGGTGGGCAGCTGGCAGCTGTTTCTTTTGAAGATCTCTGACCGGCCTTCAGAAGTGAAGAGATCAATCTGGATGTTCCTGCATTTCCAGGGCCAGACTCACTTGTAATTGGAACACTTCTGGTACTAACAAGCTGCCAACAAATCCCGGATCCACATCATCTCTGGATCCCTCCCGGCTAGCACTGGTCCTACACGCGCAGACCCGCCGCCTGGCGTCCATGGTCTCGATTGTGTTCCAGTGTATTGTGGTCCCCCCAATCATCTGATCGCGGGGGGACCGGATGGGGATCTCAATAATCTTTAGCTATATTTCTTATAGGTTTCGACTCACCTTCTCTCTTATATATTTTCTACGTGGGGACCCCTACTTTTCGACCTATTTTGGGGACTGTGTAATCCATCGCCGCTCTCGGCCATTTCCATCGCCGCTCTCGGTCAGTCAAGAGTCCTACGGTGAAGTTTTTGTCGCTGAAGCGAGCCTTCCTGCGCAGTCGCTGAAGCTGAAGCGATCCACGAACCAAAGGACAGAGCGACCCAAGTGCTTTCTGAGGTGTTTGGGGTAGGTTTGGAGGGTCTAAGTACCTCCTGAGGTACTTGGAGCCCTATCGACTTCCCCCCCCACATTAAAAAAAAAAACTCACAAACCAAGATAGTAAGGCTATCAAAACGGGACAGTTGTCTTCTGCTCTTGCAAAGGCCGTCGGATTGGTTCAAAAAATGCGGGGCGGGTAAAATTTCCAGTCGCCTAGCAGTTTCTGATCTCCTCCCACCCCAACATGAAACATGAGATTCCATGGGAGTTGCTGGCATGGTGTTTGCATTTTTGAGTGAATCCCAGGGGAGTGATTAATGGATTTCATCCGTTTCCGTGGAAAAAATTTCTCCCAACTCGTCGGTTCTTTTTGCAGTGGGGTGTCCCAATCCCTCAAAAAGTGGTTGTTCAGGTGACCCACATTTCCTCACTGGGTTAGAAAATAGACACAGCACCATAGGCGGCGTAGGTGTGATCCACCTCAGAAGTGCCAGGTCATCTGCGGCGGAACGCGTGGCAGGTGTCCAGCCTCTGCTTTCCCAGAGCGGTTTCCTCCTGGTCGTCGGCAGCCGAGCATATAGAAAACAGGAAACCGCCAAGTCCATGTTCCAGAATCTAAGAGGTACTTTAGACTTTAGCTCAGGAACAACAGGTACCTTAGCTCGCTGATCATTTTAGTACTCCTCCACGATCGTTTCTCAGGACAAAGCCATGAAATTCGTTTATTATGGATCGATGCTTTGAGCCACTATGAGAATCCATGGTGTTAAACACACTTCGATTGAATTCGTCCGAGTGCAAGGCACTTGACTGGTGAACGGAAAGGTGAAAGGTCAGCGCAGTTGTAGGAGTTTGACCAACTCAACAACTCCGGAAGCTAGTTAATTACTGGATACTTAGCACTCTTGAATTAACGGCATGCAACAATCACCGTAGCTCCCAGCTATGACCCCAAATTAATGGGTTAGTCATCCAGGGATGCTGCAGGTACAGGAAACCGGCCAAGTTTCCCTTCCCACTCTTATCCACAGCTTCATTGCGTGTGATAGGATAAGAGTGTCACACGCCCCTGCTTGGAGTGGGACCCTTTGGTAATTACAGGGTGTGACACACACACACACACACACATACAGACACGGCAGACCACGAGCCGATGACCAAACCCGGCGATGGATGATCGATGGTCCGTCTTTTTTCTTCGTCTCCGTCTCCCGAAGCGGTTCCGCAATTCTCCTGAACCAAGTTCCGCAATTTCTGCACCTGGGCGGACAGGTGGGCTCTCGCAGTCTAGGTGTAAACACACGGCCTGTGCATAGTGAAATATCGGGAGCGCTGGCTGGGTAGACTGGTCAATTCTCCTTCTGAACTGGGAGGTCTCACTGGTGTAAAAACACAACCTGTTATATTCTGTCTTGGGCGTAAGGACAAACAACCCTTCATCACCATTCGCAATCAGGTCACCTAACAGAGGACTCAGAGGTCATTTTAATCCCTTGGTATATCCTAGGATGAACATGGACTTTCAGGCTGAAAGGGTGCTCAGTGCCACCAGCTCTGTGAACCCTTCCTTTTGAGGGATGAACACCGCCTCCATGTGTGGGATTATTGGTATGTGGTATTACTTAATGGGCAGATGCCGTGGCCCAGTCTGACGGGTCTATTCTTTCAGGGGGGTCGCTACCTGCCCAGGTCTCCCCTAGGTGTGGAACAACACCTCCGGAACCCCACATGCCATCCACGTAACCATGAGGACGTTCCACGGAGTGGTTGTTAGGGGAATCTGAAAGGGGGAGAACAAATCATACACATCCATGTTTGGATTTGCTTGAGGAACTTGGACAAACCATAAACATACGTATTCACCAGAATGGGGATGTAACCATAGGGAAAATATATAAATCACTTTAAGCAAAACCAGGTATGTTGTACACTGCAGCTAAACCAAGGGCTCTTGGAACCAAAGAAGTGACTCTAAAGTGGATGCATTCCACGACTGGGCCACACAGCACGCGGAACACGCGTATGCGCTGTACGCCCGCGTACCAGGCGGATGCGGATCAAGCGGCGTAGTCCAAGTTGGGGTCAGGAGGCACGAAAGCAGTGCCCTCACTAATCCTGCCAGCTGCCGAGTGGTTCGGTTCGTCCGTGGCAACCTAATCCTAGGGGAGAGGTGGGACCCCAAAGTCATGTTATCGCAGTGATTTTCCAGGAACTGCAATCGCAACTCCAAACCTGTTCACCAGAACTGCACAAAACCACCTTCCAGCGCTCCAGTGTTTTCGCGCAGTTCTCATGTGCTCACACGAACCACAATGTGGACCTCATTACGAAGTAGAACAGGAGTTGTCAGCTCTGGCTCCAGCTTCTTTCCATCAAAGAAATCGACAAATCTAAAAGTGGATTTCCGCTTGGATTTCTTCTGTGGCCAGCTCCAGCTTCGAGCAACAATTGCACAACTTCCGTCTGGCCTTTCTCAGCTGCGATCATCAAAGCTGTTGCCCCTCTTAGGTTTACTGCATCTCTGTCCGCTCCAGCCTCGAGCAACAATCGCACGACTTTTACGTGGCCCCCCCTCGGCTGCACTCATCAAAGCTGTTGCTCCAGTCATCTGGTTTGCTGCATCTTTGTTAGCTCCAGCATCGAGCAACAATCGCACCACTTCCAAGTCTGTTGCAATCATCAAAGCTGTTGCTCCAGTTCTGTTGTTTGCTGCGTCTTTGTCAGCTCCAGCATCGAGCA